TATTATTATTCCGGTATTTTTCCATTGTAACGATTTCAACCTGTTCGATACGTACCCCACCGAGAATCCGAGACAGAGCAGCTAATTGTGCTGATAGAACATATTTCACTTTAATAGAATCCAAAATTGTCATTGTACTGAGAGTACTTCGTCGCTGGCTTTTGGTGATCACAAAACCAATAGCTGTTGACTGTAAATTGTTTGGCTTGATACTGAGCAGTACAACATTCTCCTATAAATAAATCGAGATGATTAATTTAGATTTAGATATTAGAAAGATTCTGCTTATTTTCTGTTCTGACTTTCTTCTTTGGTTATATATTAAAATTTCTAGCTTGCTAACTGACTAACTGATGTGTCTAGCTTCTTTACATGATGATATCCATTTTCCACTTTAGGTACTGGTTATTGACAAACTTTGTCGAGCGAATACTAAACGGCTATCGAGACCACTCCATGTAGCCAATGTAAGTCCTTGCTTACAATTAGAAACTTTTTGGAAATTAGAATTCATGGGAGAAATTGAACTTTCCGGGTTCTTGGTAAAAACACACAATTCCATTTTTAACAATGGTATCCTCCTTATATAGCAAGCAATATGCGTAAACAAAGTATATGATTTACAATATGAGGTTGACCTACCGAAAGAATAATCAGTCTACAAAGAGCTGTTGACCTGGTTTACAAGCAGTTCTCATTACTAGTTGACAAAGCCACAAAGGATATCGGTTAAGCAAAAGTTGTTAACCTCGTAGATTCAAGGATAATTTACAATTAATGGCCACAGAACAATGAGGTCAACTAAATGAGGAGCTGATACCATGTAAACAATATATGAAAGATTAACAGTCTAAACATAAGACAAAAAAGTTCAGGATATAAACATTACTTGCAAAATTTCATATAGCATATTTCTTACTCATATTTTCAACTATCATATACTAATTTAGAGTCTCGCTATATAAAATTCGCGACATTCGTAGCATAAAAATTCTTCAAAAGCTTATTTGTATATAATTTCATAAAAGCTTATCTGATGTAAATTATAGTCAACACTTTAAAGATATACAGTGAAATGGATTTAAACGAATAAGTATGTTTTTTTTTTTTTTTCACAATTCGTCTAACTCATTAAGTCCAGATACTTAATTTATCATTTAACTGTAAAAAGATAAGTCCTGGAACTTTCTTTCTTCAGTATTGATTACCTTTCTTAACCTAAGCGTTGTAGCCATACATTCATCAGCTTGTTGCTCGCAGTAGTTACTTACAACAGCTGCAACTCGACGTTTAAAATAAGATTCGTAGGTTTCATTGGTGTGTAATCGAGCACTTAAATTGACACGCCTGATGTTCATTTCAATTACCGGCAATTTATCCAGCTGAAAAATCCCATACTTTAATATTTTCATTTTGATTAAAGTAAAAACTATCATACCATACAAAATTGTTTAATTTTCAGATTTTTATTTACCGTAATTTAGCAATGGAAAAAACTAGTTATACCAAAACAAAACAAACACAATGTTGTGTTTTAGTTCAATTTTGAAATTTAAGGAAGCTTCTATCTGCTATGTTTTTTAGATTATTCCTTCTTGCATCACCAGCATTATTTCCATCACTTAGGCATAAGCACTGACGTGATAATGTTAAAGCTAAGTAAATTTATCAGTGATACCAGTTTATCATTTGTTATACATGCAGAAAAAAGTTCTAAGATGTGAAAAGCATGTTCCGGCTTTCTGATAATTAGAGAGACTGATATTTGATTTTGAAGTTATTATATTTATTACTTCTCACAGTAATTACTCTAAAATTATAAGGACTTTTTCTGTTCTTTGTAAAATTTCTTTTTAATTTCCGTCTGTTTCTAACACGTCCGACCAAGTCACTTCCATTCATCATCATGTAGGAAAAACCGTAGGATTAAAGAACAATAGGCGAAATTCATAACAAGCGGTTTTGGAAGTTGAAATATACATTCTGGCATCTCCATCGGTTCTCTGTAATTGTGTTTTGCCGACGTCTCAGGTTTTCAAGTAGTTCTGAAGACTGAAGTTATTTTAGAAGTTCAAAAGTTCATGAGCTAACAGATAAGTTTTGAATGCCTGAATTTTATAAAATTAAGAAGTGAACTGTGTGTTTCAGGTTTGAGCTAAATTCACTATTGTCAGTATATATTGGCTTTCGACTTTTGGTTGAGAATTGATTGGTGCTTGAATAAATCTGGTTAGAAAATTAAAGGAAATAAAGTTCGGTCAAAGCTATATCCAAATCAGTTGTTGCAAAATCGACGGAGGTTTTTGTACAGTTCATTTTATTATATTTTTGTTCATAATGATTTTCGGTGAAAAATCCACCTAATTTTTATCAAATAAAAGAATCGAATCCCTCAATTTTTCATTTCATGTCTTTTTTTCCCTTCCTCTCCTTTTCTGTTAAAAAAGACGACAAGGAAGCAATGCGTAACCTTGTCGGGAACCCTCGTTCGTGATCCCCTTAATTTTTGGACGTCCGCAGATTCAACTTCTTAGAGAAAATAAAACTCCACGATGAAATTGGCTAAAATTATCTGGAATTTTTGCCATTATGTTTGAAAGAAAATTAGAATATATATTCAGTTCTAAGCTCTTTATCCATAGATACTTAGTACCGATCCGTATTTTAATATGCTGACGTCAGGATGTTTATTCAATGAAGGATCGTTGCTTAAAGGATGTAAACCATAAAAGCCAATTAAAACACCAGTTTCTTCAAATTTATGTTGAAATTATTTGTTGGAATTTAAAATCAAAAATACCTCAATGAGCTCATTGCATAGAACGTAGGATTTTAGTAAATTACCCGCATTCTGTTGACAGACACACACAAATTCGGATCCATCATTGCATAATAGATCATTATGGATCACTGCGGAAATAGTGAAAGTGTTAGTACTGCTACTAGTAGTAGTAATAACTGGTGACTGAATAGAACTGAAAACTGGTGGAGATGAGGCCACCTTGTGAGAAATGCCACTGTTGGTTAGTGCTGCTGCTGCGAGAGGAAGAAGTTTGTCACATAATATGCATAAAATGAAATAAAGTAGTAGGATTAGGAGCATAATACGACAGTATGAATACAGTAGTAGCAGTAGTAGTAGTGAGAGTAAAAGCCGCGGCTACCTTAGTTTTAAAGCTGCAACGAAGTCTTACCATTATCCATGTGCCATTATAAAGCCTATGATAAGGCTCATGTGTTATGCCGATCCCTTGTTTCTTCTGCAACTGCAGCTGTGTTATATTTGCAGGCCAGCTAGAAATTTAAATCTTTAAGGCAGATAGCACACACTATATTACGGGAAAACTTGATGTTGATGTAGAGTAGATTTTGTGGAGCCCATCCTGTCGTCTCTCAATTCCCTCCCTTTGCTTTATCCGCTCCATCTCTCTACGAACCTTCTGATCGTCTCTTTCATCCCGTCCGTCCATTCTATCATATACCCAGAAATCTACTTGAGTAGCCTCAGATCTACCCTCTCATCTTCTAGCCTCATTTTCCTATACCATCTGTCCCCGAGCTTTCCTTCCACTCCTGTCTTTTCATTCCATATCCTCCCTATCCTAATCCACTGAAATTCATATTTTCAGCGAATTCATCGCTGTTAAAGTTTATTCTGATATCGATAAACATACACAGATGTACACGATGCGATAGCCCATACTATAATTATCAAGTTTAACATATGGACAAATAAGCACAAACACATTCTCTGAAATGTCAGACCGCATACTTCGAGGTACTGAAGGAATGAATGAATTAAATAGTTTTTTACAAATTACCTATCATTTTATCTATTCTTTCTTTGAATATGCGATAATTGGATGCTGCATCATTGCTTGAATAAACAGAATTCCAGAGATTTTCTGAGAAATCGTAGAATCCATATCACCTACTGAGTAATAAAGTGTAATTTTTTTGATACGTTGCTGACTTAGAAATTGGATTTCACCAATATTTCAAGTTTTAAGATTTTTTAGCGAAAAGGGCTGAAGAATGTAAATGTTTCCAACCGAGAAGGACTGAAGCATATGATGACAAAAAACATAGGCAACGAGGAGATTGACTGAAATTAATTTTATGGTCAGCACGGCGTTTTAATTCAAACAAATAGAGTCATATTATATTAAAATATGAGTTTTTTTTTTTTTTTAATATGAGTTAAATGGACTAAGTTAAAGTCTTTGTAAACGTTATCTAAAATATGCTTTAGTCATGGAAAGTTATAGTAGTGATCATTCTGTAACTTAGTATACTTTATGTCGGAACTACGAGTTATTCTATTGCCAGAATTAAAAAAAATTAATTTTGTCTACGCTTTAGATTACATCTGTTTTATAAGTCCAAGCTTTACACAATGGAACGATGTGCACAACTGGTAAAGAAATAAATGGACAAAAATTTAGGTGAACAAGCACGGTGATAAAGATTAAATTGGCTGATATCGTAGCTATACATTATAAAAAGTTCATTAATGGCTCATCAAATGGCTCTCAGTATGATATTTTTGAGTATATTGCCATCAAACCATACGCTAAAGCAATTAATGACGATTATTAAGAATCAATTATTAAGATTCAACAACAAAGAATAATGGTAAATAAATTCTGTTGATAATAGAAATAAAACTGCAAAAATCTACTTGAAACCAAAATTTGTCACTTTCCTTCAATGACATATCACTCAAAAACGACATTCCGTAAAGTGCACCTGTAGTGAAATTTAAGCTGAAATTTAAGCAAGTCTTCCACTACTTGTAACCAATAAATGTCATATAAATCACAAATGGAAACTTCAGTTCTTTGATAAGGATGAATATCACTGAGCGTATTATTTGTGCTTCAATGAGATCGCATGCCGTGTAATATCTTTTTATCATAAAAGAAACTCAAAAGAAGTTACGTTTAAACTTAATTCATGTTTAATTCATGCCTGAAAGTAGACATTGTCATTTGTCAAAAATGAGTCATAATCAGTGGTTAAATGAGTTCAACATTATCTTTATTTCAGGTTTCCCTTCGGTTGGTAAATCGACGCTTTTGTGTAACCTTGCTGGTGTTTATTCAGAGGTAGCAGCATACGAATTTACTACTCTCACCACAGTACCGGGTGTTATTCGTTATAAAGGTGCCAAAATACAGCTTCTAGATTTGCCTGGAATCATCGAGGGCGCAAAAGATGGAAAAGGGCGTGGTCGACAAGTGATTGCTGGTTAGCGCAGAAGTCACATTCGAAACATTGATTTGTGATTTACTTCTTATTTTAATGGTTTATCATATCTTAATGATCGTAACAAAATGCAAATGCGTCACAACTTTTATTTTAAGTGGCACGAACATGTTCGTTAATATTGATGGTACTGGACGTGATGAAACCTCTGCAACACAAAAAATTGCTTGAACAGGAATTAGAAGGCTTCGGCATACGGCTGAATAAATCACCACCAAATATTGTTTTCAAACGTAAAGAGAAAGGTGGACTAAACTTAACCTGTTTAGTAAGTCATTGCATACTAGTTCCATCAAGAGTAATTGGCTATATTACCATATAAATTATATTTTTAATGTCATTGTGGAGAATTTGTACCCAATGAAATTATTTTACACACTTGCTTTCAAAACTTCATTCTTAGGTTCCACAGTCAGAACTTGATGCCGAGATAGTAAAAAGTATTTTGGCAGAATATCGTATACACAATGCCGATGTGTCTTTAAAGTATGATGCCACATCGGAGGATTTAATTGATGTTATCGAAGGGAACAGGTAAGTAGACTTCGAAGCTGTTCTTTTTGATGTCTTGAAAAATACATTTCGAACTCTCATGTTTTATACTGCTCTTTTAATTTGGAATCCTAAATCACTAGGAGTTTGCATTGTCTTTTGATCAGGCTCTGGATTAAATATCTCCAGGCTTATGAAAGTTCCTGTCTGTTGCAGGATTTATATTCCATGCATATATGTTTTAAACAAAATCGATCAAATTTCAGTAGAGGTAAGATCGTCTTTTTTGAGACCTATTTTCAAAAAAATTTATTCCTAATCTTACTTTAAGATTGGATTTTCAGGAATTAGATATAATATACAAAATCCCTCATTGTGTGCCTATTTCTGCCCAACACAAATGGAATTTCGATGATTTGTTGGAAAAAATTTGGGACTACTTGAATCTCATTAGGGTGTAAGTTTTGCATTCTTCTTTCATTATTTAAGCGCTTCGGGATGAAAAATCGAAAATTGGGAATTGTTGAGATGTTGAAATTCAAATTAATAGAGAAGAAAAAAACTGGAGACAGAATTTGTAAATTAGCATCTATAACTTGTGTAACCAAAAGCAAATTAAGTAGTGGTAGAAGCAGAAACTATTTTAGATATACCAAACCGAAAGGACAGTTGCCCGATTACAATGCACCTATTGTACTATCAGCAGAAACACGAACTATTGATGATTTGTGTTCCAAAATTCATAAAACTCTTCAGAAAGACTTCAAATTGTAAGCTATTTTCAAAAACTTTTATTCGACATTTGAAAGGTGAATGAAACGGAATATCTTCTAAGTCATTCTACTGCTTCAGCGCATACGTTTGGGGAAGTTCAGCAAAACATAATCCGCAAAGAGTCGGGAAAGAACACGTGTTGAGTGATGAAGATGTCGTGCAAATCGTCAAAAAGTTTTTTTTTTCTCTTTTTATTTATTTTCCTTAATGAAATGTAGTAGCTGATCAAATAAACCATTCCTTTGTTCACTTACAAAGTGTATATAAGTTCATAACAGTAAGTGATTCGGGAAGAAATTTTTTTCTAGATGTAATAAAAATCGCTATCCAAACCCCATAGTTTTCATCAAAAATTTTAATTCCACTGAAGCAGTAGACTGCTCCTACTTATTTTCCTGCTTTTTAGACCTTCGATAAATTAGCTTCTATAAAAAGACTAAATATATCCTTTCATATCCATTCAGATCAATCAAAACCGAAATACAAATACCCAAAACATTCACATACATCAGATTTGTAAGTAGGAAGTAATATATTATCAACACCGTACCGGATAACTTTCCACTGATTCTGTTTTTATTGCAGGATTTGAAAAAGGAAAGAATTAATGCAAACTCGATGGTTTCTTCTTTTCTTAACAGCTTTCTCCAACGATTTGTGATTTCAGTTGTTTCTTAATGGTTTTTTATATTTACGGTTTATAACTTTAATTTTCAAACAAGCCTAAGGAAAAATGGAAACTTTTTTAAACACTGAATTTAATATCCAATTAACTTTGCAATAATAATACCCACTTTAATTATTTCCTTTCGCCGCAACTTTTCTGTTTCAGAGTTGAGAAGCTGTTCAAATTTTCGTTGTTTCTTCATGTTATTAAACTACAAAATGAATAATTATATCAAATAATACCGCAGTACTGAATTTTACACAGCAACTCGTGCCGTCCTTTCGATGCAGACATGTGAAACAAAAACGGAGGAAAGGGAGCAAAGCTCTCGATCACCAGCCGGTGTTAAGAAAGCTTGAGGGCTCAAAATCTTGCATGAGTAATTTGTATTTTATCCAAAAAAGAGCAGGCATCAAGAAGGTAGGGTCAATTATTTAATGGTTTCCAAAAATGAGCGCCATGTCTATCAATCAAGCTTGATGTGAAATAAATACTAAACTTTGAATTCAGTAATACAAGCGCACCACTGCACTATATTTCGTTAAATATCAGACATAAAATTACCTGGTAGCGATCCCTTTTATATCTCTCCAATATATTACTGCAAAGGCCATCGAGAACTTCCTTTACATGACTTGGCATTCGAATCTCTCTTTGTTTCATTTTTGCTACCGGGACATCAACAAATAAACTGAAGCAGATATTCGAAATATTCATGCGTGCAAAGTTAAACACTCCAAAATAAGAAATTTTCTGAGTTTGAGATTAAATATAGAAAATAAAGGATTAAAAAAAAATTTTTCCTACCTTGAATTAATTATGTCTTGCAATCTTGGCAAACAACGAACTTCTGGCAAGAATACTGAATTCAGTAAAGGCTCTGTAAAAGTATTATTCTGAGTATATGAATGTTTTTGCCTTATGACTAATCAATTACATTTTAAAAATAGTATATTAGACTCACCAGAAAATTATCCTTCAGAATTAATACTTCAATACAAGAAATATTAATTTCCCAGTATATAAAAAGACTGATGTTTAAAGTTTACAGTTAGCTTCTAGTTTCTAAATTCAAAACAAAAACTTACGAAATGCAGCTGGTATAATGGCAACCGCTTCACTTGCTGAACGCATAGGGAACGTAAGAAAGCCCGTAATTAGTTCAAATAGAAATTCACAAAATGTAAATACAAACATATCCTCGAGCGTCTGAAAAAACATTTGTGCTTTTAGAACTCGGTGTTATCACGTAATCTAATTTTCATAACTAATGATGTTTTCTGAAAAAAAATCCGAGACTACAGGAAGGTTCAGGTAAAGACGAAGGATTTAAAACTTCTGACTTTTGCAGTAGGCCTTCAAGTACGATTTTTCTAAGCATAAACTGACTGAAATTCAAGGGAAAGATTCATTTTTTGTTTCTCGAAATTTATACAAAATTCTGAGAAACTCACATTAATAGCTTGAGAACACAACATTGAAGAACGTCGGAAACTTGGTTGCCCAGTTAGGACTGAAAAAATTTAAGAATTTAAAAATAAAACATTAAAACATAAGTCTCAGGAAATTACATTCTTTACCTTGATCAAAATCAATCAGCTCGCAACCATGTTCTGTGATAACAACATTTCCTGCATGAATGTCGACTGAAATAAGAAATTTTAGATATAAAAATACATATATTTTGCTTTCCGCATTTTAAAGTAAAATAAATTTAGAATAAAAATTTTAAGCAAATTTTGCAATATTCGTTATATTTGTCAATCTAGTACGAAAAAATTTGCAATGCTTGGATATGTAGATTACAAGTAAATGAAATGACACAATACCTCAGTCTGTGACACATTGTTTGCAACTTGATTAACATATTTTTTCAAACATTTGTTGAAAAATTAGTGCAGATATCAACAGTTCTCTAAACACCCTCTCCCTCTTAAAAAAAAAAAAAAAAAAAAAGGGAATAATAGATCAACAACAGGATTTGGAAAACAAAGCATACAACATGGCACAGAAATCGCGTTTAATAACGTCAACGTTTCGAGCAACTGTCGACAGATTAAGAGAATATCATACGTTTCAAATGAATAAATAGAACTATCCATTTTGTATTTTGTAAAAAAATCGTCCTTCCAGTTGCTCTGGAAATAGTATTTTAAGGACGCTATTTAAAAAAAAAAATCAGCTAATTTCATAAATTATCTATCTCAAGTATTTGTTTTTGAATTTCAGAAGCCAATTTTGATGGTTTAGTATAGACCGGAAAATGAAAAGAATTAGAAAACCATACCAAATTGAGGAAATTTTAACCTTATAAAGCCGGTCACGTAATGTTCCTTCCTTGAAAATTGGTCTAATATATACAATTCCCCCATCAGTGGCCCAGCTCGTTACACTTTCATTTAAATGTGGACATTGCAGCGTCCGAAAGAATTCAAGGGCATTGTTAAGATCCATCACTGTTCCGAAACGATCTGGACCATAACGGACACCAGATAGCATTAGCTTTGAAAAACCACATCTAATCTCATAGTGTATTTTACCAGGTCGCCAACCACAATGTTTTCTTTGTTGTTCCATGGTCCACTGGCGTTTATCGCGGAACGACAAAAGTATCCACTCATGCAAACCTGTGCAAGTAGCGAGTTTTATTGTATCATTTTGAGTCTTCTGAACTTTGGTTTCCGGATAAACACTAAAAACAGAAAACGATCCACCTAATTATAAGTATTCAGATAACTGAGCTTAGGCACTTTTATATAAATTTATATCAGCTAATTAAGTTTTCCGAACTCACAATGACACAGATATTTAAGTAAATACTACAATTTCCCAATCATTTTTTCAACTTAAATTTTAGGTCACAGTTAAATTGCTACCTTACCAACATAAGTTTCGGTGAAACTTTCAAGGAAATTGGCTACTGCTGGGCATGCATACAAGATCGCATGTAGGCAGATGGCATCCAAAAATTCCTGTAATCAGTTCTTACAATAGAAATTTGAAATACAGTGAAAACTATAACTACGAATTATATCAGAAGCTTCTATAAATTGACGTGACTCCGCGCCACATTTCGAATTCAATCAACAGTGTAGTTGACAGTATGAAGTGCGTTTATAAATCGATTGTCAAACAACAAACATATTTTGCTTGGCAAGCTGGAATATGTCACGCAGTGACATTATTGAACTTCTTCCGGAAAATGTCTAACTATACTTTTTAGAAGCTCTTTTTCCCATGTTCTTTTTTCTTTTTCTCCAAATTCTTATAATTTAAGTGTAAGAAGAATCTAAACCTGCAGCGCCAGCATACGTTGTTTGATGAATGTTTCCTTCGCATTTCCAATGAACTTTTTCGGAGGAAATCCTAAATCAGCACCAATCTTTTTAATATGTGAATTCAACTTCCTGAAAATTCCTGTAATCAATTCTACAAAACACGCTTGCAATAGAAATTTGAAATACAAAGCAAAACTAGAGATTATACCAATAATGATAAAGTAAGTAATAAATGTAAAGTACGACACTTCCACAACTATCAAGAGAAGTCAAAAATTACTTCACGTAAAAGAAAACTGATTTACCGAAACTGTGCGTAACGTCGCTGGATACGCCACGACTTTCCGATTCCCAATTGATTGTTCACTTCTATCACATATTCCTCAAATTCACATAAATTTCATAAAACTAGAAACAAAATTCTTAAAAATAACAGGCTTGGATTTAAACTGCATTAACTTCCAAAACCTTGGAATATCATTTCAGAGGTACTTGATTTCTTCTTAATGCTGTAACTAATGAGAGTTCATTTCTTCATGCGACACAGATGTTAACTTGAAATACATTTTGATGCACTACCCACTATAAAAAGTAAAATTGACTGAATTATAAATCAGTTACTTGTTCAAATTCAAATTTAAGTATTTCAAATGATTAAAAATAACACAATTTTCAAAATTCCATCAATAATTATATGGTAATAGTTCCTTAATTATATTAAGTTGTAATATAATTCCACACTATAGGATCCTTCAGTAGTACACTTGATTTAAATGGACTGCTGCTGACTATCTGGCCATTTGGTGATGAATCAAGTTGAAGTTGCAACAAATAGAGCTCAATCTCCACTGATTCATAACCACCACAACATATAACTTAGACGTGCATGGGTGGATACCGGTCGTATGGCCACGGGAAGCTGAACACAAACCACGTGGTCGTGTAAATGTATCCAGTCGATTAACGTGCACTTCAGTGGGTGTGTAATGTCAATAGCTGCTATTGTACTGCCTTGCATTATTCATACTGCGGAAGGCTAAAATTTGGAAATGATTCGTTTATTAGGAATAATGAAATAAATCACTACTTTATTGGAAATAATGACTCACTAAAAGTTCCCCGAAAGTAACCGCATTCCTGCAAGACAGTTCACTGTAGATGAAACGAAGAAATCGTGGCAGAAGATTGAATTAACCAGTTCTGGGACCGTTGCTAGTATTACAACAACCTGCTGAAGCCAGCAACTCACCCAATCTCTCCTGCTTTATGCAACGTATATCGAATGTGAATCCGAACTTTAGTTTCTGTAATCTTCGCACTCCGTGCATAATATGCAATCTTCGATTCTACGACCGGCAATATTTCCAAGCGAATGGTTTTGTGATGAATTTCTTGAATTACTTTTAGTAAAATTTTGATTAGAGTGATCATATTGATGTACCATTCATGAGATAAAATTTCATCATTTAAGTAACCGATACCGGATTTTTTTGTCTATCATTAAACAGATTTTTTCTATGTCTCTTATTGATATTATCTTTCCATGGGGATAACTATCAGCCAAATTAAATATTAGGTGGGTTACTTCTAGATTATGCTCTCTTTTAGACCACTTGGTAGGCAGATTCATTTTGACAGATTCACTGAAAAATTCGATCCATCCGAAATATAATATTTCTTATCTAATGAAAGGTAAAGAAATGTATCTGAAGGATGTCATGTTTGTAGTATATCAAAAATTTCGTTTAATTTGGTTTAGCAATATCATCTTTAAATTTGTTTTTGCTATTTTTTGATTTCTGATGTATGTGCAGTTAAGATAGGCTATCATTTCTGCAAATTAAGGTTTTGCAGGATGTAGCAGATGACTTCATCTACGTCAACTCGCTCTACTTTTTCCGGAGTATGTTCTCCAAAACATTACATTTCTTGATTTTCCAATTAATTATTTAATTTTTTTGAATCATTTTCTTCTTGGATGCAGAAAGAACTCAGAAATGACCTTGATAACTGTTAGTAATTTTTTCGTTTATCGAAGGTAAGGACTCATAATATTTCAAACATAAACAAAAGATGCAAATTATGGGCTGCTGACATATTATCAGAAATATGCATATTATTAAGGAATTGTTATAGATTTCGGAGGGTTGGTTGAGTGAGGCCGGTTCTAGTAGGTTACAGAATCGGAGTAGCGCAGAAGAATCGCAAGAAGATTGTCCAAAATGTGCAGCACTGAGATTGAACACCGTTATTGCTGAAGAAGCTTTAGCTTCCTTAAGTGGGCAGTTTAAAAATCTTCAGAAGGAACTAAAGGTTTATTTCTCACTTCATTAAGTTATGATAGAGTTAGGGAGTAAAGAATATATAAATTTACTTTTAGAAATTTCTCATTCGTTTGCATTTAAAATGTCTATAATTTTTTTTTAGAAAACAGAACAGGTATCCAAAATAAATGAAGAGCAAGCTAAATATATTGATGAAAGACGTTCAAAGCTAGAAAATTTGGAAGCAGAACACACATCGTTGTATGCGGAGTATGAGAATTTGCGGGTATACCGCTCTTTTTCCTTATTGATCGTTTGCCGCAAAATTTGTAAATATTTCTTTGTTTAAACTTAGTACTAAAAGTTACAAGAATTTCAGATCACTCATGACAGTCTAAAAAGACAATATGATGAAGTGGTCGCTACAGCACGAAGGAATCAGGTTGTACTTAGTCACATTTACTTTATTTGGAGCTTAGATTTACTGTATATTTAAACTTACTTTCATCGTCCAGTTCTAGTTGGCTTGATTAAGCTAACATCGGGAAATTAATGCTTTTGAAATAATGGCGGATTTTATGATGCTTGTGTCTTAGTGTGAAAAAACATGATGCATTTTACTTAGATTTTGAATAAAATTTAGCGTTTAATCGAAGAATCAGTGAAATATCATGAAACTTGTAAAGTTGCTGTGGAAAATCTCATGGCTGAAAAAGAAGCACGTCAGGAATTGCTTGCAAAATATCTGAAAAGTGTGGAAGCTGCAGCGGTAGGTTTTCCTAGTTACTGAGAGATTAAAATGCGACAAAAGCTTTAACATTTTCCTTTTTCCTTAGTTTTTAATACTTAAGCATTTATTGCTGCTCAAAAATTTCATTATTCCTCTGTTCAGGACAGTGAAATAAAGCTGAAAAAACTTGACAATATAAACTGATTAATGGTATCGCTGTTAAGATCTAGGAAAATTTGTAAAATCTTTTTGAAAATTTTTTACTGCATTTTTTGTGTCTTTATAAAGTTGTCGTTTGCGGTTTTGAGGACATGTTTGGAAGATTTTATTTATATTGGTAGTAATTTGTGAAACAAACATTAATTAAATGATGAAATCTGTAGAAACCAGTCTAAAAAGTTTACGTACTTATTTTCAAAACGTTGCTTTTTTGAAGAAAATAAATGATTCAATGAAACAACTTGAAAAGAAATGTGTCCAACTGCAAGCAATGAATGAAAAGTTGGAACCCTTTAGATATCATTGTCCGGCAATGCTCCGACTCCTTCTTGAGTTTGGTAAATTTTCCTTTCATATTTTTTTACACCAATGTTTTGAAAAGTTAACTTTTACGTGCGAAATCGAATAAAATTTCATGCACCTTAGTTTTACAGGTTTTTTTTTTATCTGTTGCAATCATTAGGTTTGCATGATTATCCATCACAACACGCCTTTGGTTTTGGCGAGATTTCTTAATCATGTAATTCATTATAGACCTCGTTTTTAATTTGTATGTCGATCGAGCTATTATATCGAACTTCCTCGTTTTTTATGAACTATTAGAAATATTTCTAAAATGCTGGAAAAGCACTGCAGAACGGTATCGTTTGAATAATTTAAGTAGTAGTTGGAAAAAAAGATTAGAAATATTGTCTGCGAGTCATTTGCAGGCGAAATTATTGAAAATAATGGTTTAATGACAAAATCACTGCAAAGACGTCTTGCTCGATATAAAGATAAGGATGATTTGCGTGAATACTTGCTTAGAAAGTCAAGAAGATTAACGAATTTAAGTGAATCAAGTACAAAAACAATGGAAGAAAGTAGTGATGATGGTATGGTTTCCATTATATTAATTAGTGGGTGATTGCAATCAATCAATCAATTTTTTTTTAATGGAAATTTTAAAACCGAAAAGATTTACGACAACATGATAGAAATATAATTGAGTTGGAATATGGAGCCATAAAAAAGTTAGCATTTATGAAATGCAGTGAAACCAAACACTTGCTATTTTGTCATGCTCTTAAAAAAAATATTTCAGAAATATTGTTTTTCAGATGAATTAGCAAAGGACGTGGAACATTTATTACTGACAACTGGTAGTCCACCTCATCCGAGATCACCAAAAAAATCAGTATCTCTTAACGAAGAATTAAGGAATGATGAGAAAACTAATGATCACTCGACAAATCCTGTGAAAGAAACGTCAAATATCGGAGTTGAAAAAGGTCTTGTGTATAGATCTATCAGAATGTGTGTTAAATTAAACTTGAAAATTCTATTTCGCGAGATTTGCATGTGCTGTTTTGAGCATAACTGTTCTTCATTAGTGTCATGAATGCAGTCAGTTGTTGGTCTACTGGAGCTGGTTTACACTTTTATTTGTGTAATCATTCCATTTAAAGCAAACTTTGGGTACTGCTGATTGAGTTTATTTGGTTGTCTTTTGTGGAAATCGCAGTCATGCTTCATTTGTTAATGCAGGAAACTTTTTTTTTCAGAAAACTTTTTGAGGAAACAATTAGAAAATGTGGAAGATCTGCATATGTCCTTTCCGAGGTTTCAATTCAATTCGTAAGTGTATCCTATGATATTTATAACTATAAAATAAATGCTTCCATTAATTTTATGAACATTTGGAGCTTAGTTTTTTTTTTTTTTTTTTTGTTTAAAATTAACTTCTAATTGATGATGATTGACAAATTAAAAATAGAATTTTAAGCTGTTCTCAGCACTCTTTGTTTCATCCAAAGAGCAATATTGCAAATGCCTATATTTTATCTTCCGACTTATCTTTTAGCTTGGTTTTGATTAAAGAATAAGAGTTGTTTACCATAATTTTTTGTTCTTATGATGTAAGTTTCAACCCATTGGTATGGGAGAGCAAATGATTTGTTTCCGGAATTAATATGCTCCATTATATGACTTCCGTGATTGGTTTCTTTTTCACAGTGATCATTTTTTGTAGTTGGCATCTTTATTGATTTTTCTCAAGTTAAATGCATTCTTTACTTACTTTTACTTCGATTGGATTCCTTTTAGCGAATTTCTTATGATTCCTTAATCACCTGTGTTAAAAATTGTCCTCACTAACTCTTTTTTTTTGCTTATTTTTCTCATTTTTTTACAACTAAATCACTTTATCCTTGTTTTTACTATATTTTTTGACTGCATGGACAACCATGTTGTCCAGTATTGATGTGTTGAGAACTTTTCTTGCTCTTTATAGTTTGTATTTTGTCACCTTTTCAAATGCATAAAATACAAGTAGCAGTTTTTATTTTCGAATCAATGGTTAGCTCAGTAAGTGCTAGATACTAAAATGCATCGTTTTGTACATGTCGTAGAAGTTTTATTTTTTCTTCATTAACTCTTGGTACACTTATTTCCGTTTAATTTGTTAACTTTTCTGTTTTCATTTGTGGTTATTTAAATCTTCTAATTATGCAAAATGACCATGACGAACTTAACGAGAGTGGTGTCACTTAAGATCTAAAGATGCATCTGGTCCGAACACTGAGTACTTCTTGATATCTAATGAAGAACTACTTTATTTTTTAAATTGTATGGCTGCTTAGGAAAAAAATTCTGAAGTTGCATATTCATATCTGGATTTAAGCTCTTTACATGTGAGAAAGCATTGCATCTTCCTCTTCAAAATTTACATCGCAGTTTGGTGTTTTAGAGATACACATATGGATGAGGCGAAAGCAATATGCAAAAGGCAGTTGAAGTTAACTGAAAAGCAGAAAATCGAAACACTTTATGTGGAAAAGAAAAAAAGTAGCTTTAAAGAAGCTTTGAAATTATTATACACATCTTCACATTCTGCATCCAATCTTTTTAAGCTGGATCACTTTCTCGGAATTTTAGAAATATTGACCAAGTTTACATTCGTTTGCATATTTTATATTTAAAAAAAAAAACGAAATTTGTCTTTGTCAGTTTGATTCCTTTTTTATTTGTACATTTTGAAAGTTTGTTTTATGTAACGAAATTTCCTTATTTTATTTGATCAGCATCAATTACTGTTTCAGTTGATGATGTTCTGAGCATATGTTTTCCAAGCACTTTATCTTCCTCATTGGCAAAGGTAATGAAGTGGATGATTTGTTATTTTGTTTTTGCTTCTTAAATTTGTGATTTGGTGTTTTTTTTTTTTTGTGTGTAAGAAAGAATTGCTTTTAGAAAAATAAACAGTTGGTTGGAAAAGATGTGCAGGAAAGTGAAGATGGGTTGCAAAAGAATATTGTCCAGGATATGTGTGAGAATAACTCGAAAATTGAAAGAGACAAAAATATGCCGGAAGTGGAGGTCACCTTCAACTCGGTTTTTAATTTTCTTTTTGTTATATCTCTATTTTTAATTTTTTAATTTTTTATAATGTATAGATTTGTTTCAACAAGTTTACAGCTCGATATCAAGTCTAGAGAGTGACTGGGAACTGATAATATACCACAGTGATAATATTTTATGTTGATATGTGGATGACTTTAGATTGTTTATCAAAACAATGAAGAAAAACAAGTTTGTAGAAGTACGGAACGGCTTTCCACGTGGCTTAGCTTTGTGCATTTGGATCCTCTGCTTCCTGAACTGAACAGACCGACATTTCTAGATAATGAAACTGAAGTATAATTTTTGTATATATTTTATGAGAGTGTAACTTGAAGTATTTTAATGTGGTATTTGATGCGCAATAATTATTCAAATGAAAAACTTTTTCTTTTTATTGAAAATTTCTAGTTATCAAAGCAACACAGTTCGGTTGATTTTATGGATAATCTCTTCGGGTCGTCGTCTCCTAGCACATCAAGCAGACGAACATCAGTGGGTTCAACGGAAAGTTGCATAATTCCAAAAAATAAGACAGGGATGAGGTCTGAACTCAGCTGCTCAGTTGATGCAGTATTAACAACAGAGGAAACTAGCTTCCTTATTGAACCTTTATCATTACCTCTTGTTTCCTCAAGTTCCGTATATTCCTCTGTGACAGATAGTATTATACCAGTATCTGAAGCATTGGAAGATTCTAGTTCGTTATGCCGTGCATCCGTCTCCATTATGGAAACTGGTACTAATGATGAACGGCCGGTAAGTTTTCTGTTACCTAAATAGTGGAATTTTTCACCCTATTAATAAGAAGGGAATGTCATAATTTTTTGGCATGGTGAACCAGATGCATATTTGTGGGAGAGGGTAATTTATGTATGATCTGGAATTCATGTTTTAAAACTTTTGTTGGTTAAAATCACTAAACAAAGCTTACACACGGAAGTTTGATTCAAATTTTTTGAAGGCGAGAGTTTGTTTATAACCATTAATGCATTTGTTAATCTTTGCAGGGTAATGAGTCCGTAGAGAACCACAGAGTCTCAGATGAAATCACGGAAATACCTTTTATGGAAGCGCTTGTACCGACAATTAGACAAAGATTAAGGCCTAAGACTACTGATTCGAAATCGGTTCGAAGTTCAGTCACAGAGAAATCGTCACAGAGAAAACATAGTGGATTTAATTCTCCAAATGGAAATGAAAATTTCAGAATTAGAATTGCCTCTCCGAAGTTACCAAAAGTAATCACGGAATCGTCTAGTACCAAGGAAGATGAATTAGATGAAAACCAGGGTTCCAGGATGCAATCCTCAAGAAGTGAGAAAATGATCTCAGGAAGAGCAGTATTCGGTGGAAAAACATGTTCAGAAAAGGACGAAAATCTTGTAAGATTATCAGAAGGTAAAGTAGAAAGTGTTCTAAAAATGTTGGCAGTCAAAAATGCTGAATTAAAAACTATCCAAAATGAACAGGAATTCGAGAGATGTGTTGGTAATCCAACTTCACAAGAACAACCGTTACATTCAACGAGAATGAAACAACTACAAATTGACTCCTTTTCTTCCAAACATATGGAGGAGTTGTCGATTGACTCCAAGGAACTTATTAGTGTTCAGAATGACCTGAGAACAGAAGATGTATTAATGCAACGGGAAAATGCGAATACCAAACCCGGCGAAACTATAGGTATTCGAAATGATAACAATATAGCATTACATAGACGCTCGCAAAAAGATTGGGATTTGAATGAAATGAAATCATTAAAAAATAACAGAAAGATTTTGAAGAGACATGAAATCCCAGGCACTATAAAGTTAGGAAATGAAGTTGGAAAGAAAAAAAACATTCACTCATTAGGAACGCGAATTCAGCAAGAAATGGCACTGAGAAATGAGTTAGAAAATACCAAGATTGCCGTTGAATCTCTATCAAAGAATGAACAAAACAGGGAATCCAGAAAATTAACTTTAACACGGAATAATCAAGTTACATGTGAATCAAGAAAACGAAAATTAGCTGAGGAAGGATGCAGCAACACAGAAGATGAGTGGAAAGATGGCGATCAAACTACGGCATCTTTGCAAAAATCAAAAATGATTGAGACTGATCATGAAAAGGAGCCAGTGGTATGCTATGATTTGTGATTACAACTCGTTACAAAGTTTTTTAACCCTATAGAACGGCAAACTTAATATTTTTGAAACTTGATATCTAGTTCATTTCTCGTTTCTTAATAAATTAGATTTTAGAGTGAGGACAATGAGTGTACGATGAAATCTACAACATTGAACATCAAATCACTCAGTCAGTTTGTTAAATCACTTTTTTGTATGCATTTTTGTTTGTTATTTTTTTTGTTGCTTCGAAGTATGTTAAATTATTTTATTAGGTTCACAGAAAATGTATCTGCTTTTTTTATTTTTTTATATATGCCTTGCCAGTTTTTTTTTTGAATTCCAGCGCCCTGCTAAATTTGAACTTGTAAGCTAACAGATACATAAGGACTCATTTGTGGTTTTTTGTACTTCTAGAAGATCACAGATTGGAATCTTTACAGGAACAGAATTGAGCGATGATGATGGTGATGATAACCGACTAGAAATTGTTGCAGATGAAGTTGAACTTTCACATCTTAATATCGAAAATGCATCAGGTATTTAAATTTAGGCCGTCCTGTCATCTTGTTAATTTCTAGAGGTTCAGTAATAGAAATCAATGCAGAAATTATGATTTTTTAGGCGCGATTCATGTTTCTAATAATTGCGAGAAGTCAGAGAAAACTAAAAGAACAACAGTGGCTACCAAGGTTCAATTCATTTTCATTCGCATTTGTTTAAAATATATCTGGATACTGATGTTTATTGTAACCATTCCTAAATGGGTGTAACTTGAATGATGAAATTGCTCGTTAATTCTTTTGTTTTGGAAATGATTTGGTCACTTTTGATAGAAATCGGTCAGTATAATGAGGTCAGAAATGTACAAAAAGATGCATAGACGGCTTGCAGTGCAAACATCATGCATGAAAGAAATTGGGAGAGTTCAAGGACGTAAATCTATGGTAGGTAGTTTTACTTGTTCCTTTATTGAAGGTCAGAATTACTCACTAAAACTTATTCTTGTGGATTTGATCATTTTATTGATCAGCTATCTTGCCGCTCTTTTGTTAAAACTCAGTTCCTTATGAAAAAGATACTATAAAAACACTACGTCATTTTGAAAATTTTTTGTTCGTTTTGATGTTTGGGATGCAGCACTCAAAAATTTGGTAGTAGAAACTCTGAAAGCTTTGAAATCTAAAATTTAATGTTTTGTGTTGAGTTGATTCTCGTCACTTTGTAGGGGAACAAGGCAATTCCTACATTATCAACATCGAAAAAAATGGAACGACCAAATATTTCACAGCGGAGAAGAACAGCAGTGATGGTTCCTACCGGAAGAGATGAATTGAAAAAGGCCAAAGTAACTGCTTTTAAATATGATGAAGAAATATTTAAATATTGCCTAATAAAAACAACGGCATACTATTAAATCTTTTATGCTGTGGATCCATTTTTTGATGTTTGTAAGCCCTTAGCTTCGAATACTCTTTACTTATTTGCAGAACGCTTATTTGCAGAATGTAGGGCTGCCGGTGATTCAACAAAGCCTATCCTCGACAAAAGTTGCAAATGGAAGTGATGATGCTGCTGTAATGTGTTTATTTGATCAGGCAATCTCAGAAAGCAACTATGATGACAAATTACTGGAAATAATCCAGAAGTTCCAAACACCAGCTATTTCAGTAATATCTTGCGAGAAATTAGCTGAATGCTGTGTCAAGGTAAGCGCCATTTCAAGTTTATTGAACTGCTTATTAGGAATATGAATGCAGGGAATTTCGTAATACATTAGAATAATGTTTTTCTATTTCCATATGGAAGAGATCCTAAAATGCATCGAAATATGACCAAATTTTATTTAGAGAGTTTTTTTTAGTTTATAAGCAAACTTGATGTCGGCAATATGTGGCATAGTGTCGTGCTTGCAGTTCGTTATTGGTCAGGTAAACAAAGGTACGGGTGTACAGTTGGTGAAGTTCTAGAACTTCATCAAGTAGCATCGTCAAAAGAGCGAAATTTCATCGAAGTATTACATCAGTTGAGTGGTGAAGTGCACTGGAATGATGTTATTTTATTTTTTCTGTGGTTAGTCTGTTGGGAATTAAAGTAGAACCATTGCATACAACTTGTAGTATCAGCCTAAAAGCCATCCCTGATTATTGTTGTTTTGACGGTCTTTCAAAAGGAATTTTAAGCTGCTGATTTTTTTCAGGAAAATGATAATATCAGTGATGAAAACGCGTCCTGTGTCTGCTGCACAACATGGTCTCAGCATTCGATGTGTACTCTTATGTACTCGAATATTGTTGCAAGTAAGCAAATTACAAGTTTGAGATTCCTGTCTATAAATTAAAATATTTTTAAAATCATTGAAACAAAAATTTTCGTCTTTATGTTTATCCTAATATTTAGAGATGGAATTTTGTATAGATCTTAGGATGTTGTTCATAATCTATTCATATTTCTAATTTTAATTTTAAGATTTTTTTTTTTGAATTTTTCCAAATATAAGAATACATTAGCTAAAACAGTGATTCGTAGCACTGCATAGACGTATGCAATTTAAACATTGCATAGAGAAGCATTGCAAGAGATGCACATAAGCACTGCACAGAGATATGCAATTTTTACACAACTCAGTAATCGAAATTCCTTAATTAGTGGTCATATAATAAACTCTTTTTGATCTCTTTCTTACATGGAATGAACTGATGGAGTTTCTAATTTATTTTTGTTTAGGATGGCTCAAATAATGAGGTGCTGAGAAAGGTGACCAACTTGTTGCAACACTTGATAGAACGAGATTCACCAGACAGAGTTGTACCGATGATGTGCTATTCGATTGCAATTGTTCCTGAAATTGTTGACAAACTGTTACTCGAAGATAATGAGCAGTATGAGCCTGTACGTCGCGTGATGTCTGTACATCTTGCTTCAAGAGTAGGTTGTTTGAATGAAATAAATCATGTGATATTTTTTAGATTTCATTTTATTTATGGAACAATTTGTTTGTTTTAACCAAACGAGGCAGGAATTGTAGAAATTTAGAACTGCACCCGAATAATGTCGTAATTGTTTTGGTTTTGTTTGAAGAGAGACCAAGTAATATATATATATATATATTGACATTTTTCCATTTGGTAGTAGAATAGCAAATATTACCGTTATAATAGGGGTATCAAAGATTTCTTTCCATTTTTAGGATGAGCTTTTTACAATATTCAATAAAGTGATTATGTCACGTCTTCTCAACAAAAATACATATAGCACCACATGTCTGCAAAAACTTAGTATTCATGGTTTCCAACATTGGTTTACTGAATCTATCAATGTGATTATTACGGACATAAATGGCTTGAATTTAGAATCTATGGAGGTATCAATTTGAATTTCTCTTTCAATTCTTGAAGCCAGTTATTCGCTCAGTTTCTGAATTTGATTGATATTACTACATTGTTTATAGGAATTTATTCTTTAATTACTTTATATTATGCTTTCTAATATTTCTTTCGATTTTTAAACTTTACTTTCATTTTTTATTTTAGTTGAGCTCCAGGCTTTCATCGGCAATGATGACGTGTTATGCATTATTCAGTTTAGCTACAAATCGTTTAGTTCCTGATAAGGAAGCTGTAGTATTTCCAGTGCTAAATGAATGTGTCCAAATAATATCGAATCATTTTGAAAGCGAAAAAAAGGTACTTCTCGTTAAAATTTCAGTTTTTTTTTTCCCGTGAAAAGTTTTCCAAGAATAATAATTCATTAAATATAATTTCATTTAAGGGAGGAAATGAAATGTTTGTCGACACGGTTGGACTGCAATTATTATCGGATGATACGCTCGTAAAAACTGTGTTACGTCTTTTACTTTTTGGACGCCTAATAACATCATTTGTTAGAAGTACAGATTGCAGCACACTTTCGCAAATAGCAAATTTAGTTGAAGAAATTCACAAATTGCGAGAATTTACAAGGCTAAAACTCGAACAGGTATTGCATAAATTCAAATTTGAAGCTAGCTGGACTTCCCAGTAAATTAAATTTTTTACTGTTTGCTCTACAGAGATTTTATTGTATGTAACCTTGTTTTTGAATAATGTTTTAAACTTCTGCAATAAAATATTAATTGCAGAGAGGGAAAACTGCTTCATATCGCTTACTTTATTTTGGTTTAAATGATTGGCTTCAAATAGTAAAACCTTGGACGAATTTCCTCCCTGCAGATTTCACAGTGGCAAGTGATTAGTGGTATCTTTTTTTACTATTTTGAGACGTTTTGTGGAACCTTGAATTTTACATGGTTTAGCAATTTCAAACTCATCTTACGACAGTCTGGAAAATGTGGATCAGATTACTCTGATGTTTTTATATCTTCAAGAATAATTTTAAAACTGTAAACAAAAACTGAGTAATGAATACTGCATATGGGACATGAGGGACTAGGGTTTCAAAGATTTTTTAAAGAAAATTATATCTGGATAAGGAAGAGAACTGAGCAAGTTATTATAATAAAAGAATCTTATTATTCCCGAGACAACAATACCAGCTTAATGGAAATGAAAATTATGATACTTGAAATGCCTATTTTAAACGATCTACGTTCTTCGAAAAAAAAATTTTGGAAATTCAAAATGAAATTCAAATTTGCTGGAATTTTTGGGATAGATTTAGAAATTTTTGGTTTCTCAGGAAATATGCCTGGTTAAAATCTGTATGTTTGTAGTTTTAATTTTTTCGTATTATCGTATTTTATATGTACGTCACATAATGTATGTCCTTTTTTCATGCTAAAATAATTGGAAATGACCTTTATAGCTTTGTATGGAATTAATGTAAGTTTAGGTTCACTTCCCATTGTGTATTGTTTTTAATTCTTTTTATTTCATACTAAGGCTTTCAGCTATCTCTCTTTATAAAGATTGTTAATGTGGGAATTATCTGTGGTAGACTGGTGCTAAACTTATCAAAAACTAGAATATCGGACTTATTTTTTCGTTGCGTTCGTAATTCACTTTGTCAGATTATTTTCTATAATAGTGAAAGCACTGCAAATAAAATACTTAAAAGTAAATATATATTTGCAGTCGTATTCATCTCCTTTGTTAATAGCTCACCTAGTGTTGTGTGTTCCCTATAATTTCAGGAGTTTATGGTGAAGTGGTTGTTTTGTTTGCTTTTTGGTATCCATTTAAAATTCATCATTTCATATGTTGCTGATATTTTTCCGCTTTTTTATGCTACTGTGAACAAATGTTATTTTTATGATTTTATTTATGATTTCTCCACTGAACCAAAATAAATGATAATAAAAACATTGGTGGAAGACAGTAGGTTTGTCATTCTTTTGGCTACTTTGTTTCTTTTTCAGCTTGTATTTGAAGTGATGTATTTAGGAAATTTTTAAAATGGCATTTTCAGGGAATAAAGTTATATAACTGTTATTTTTAAACATTTTTGGTTTAAAATAAAATGATTGTAACGAATTTGTTGTTGAGATGATAGTATGGACAGTATTTAGTGAGGAGGCGTCAGATTAAGGAAGCTTTAGTGAAGAAACATGCGGACTTCGAGTGCGTAAACTGATCACCTGGAACTGAAGCCAGATCTGTAAGAATGATGGTCATATGTTTGAGACTTAGGATTTATGTGTCTCTCTTGTTCAGTTAAATTGATATTAAAGGTGGCAATTGTTGATGGTAGAAAAAGTGCACATAAAGAAACGTAACATGCCGGGAATTGTTCCATGGGAGCCCTATAAGGTATGATTGGGAATTTCTTCAACCTGCTTCCGTTTATCAGTTTTGTGTGGTTTGTTTGTTTGTTTGTTTTTTTCCTCCCTCTCTTTCACATCTTGCAGTCTTTTTTTAAGCTAATTAGAAATCAGACAAAATTTAGCGAATTGGGTGGTTTCGGTCTTTGTTCTATTGATATTGAACTTACTAAGGTTTATTTCATTGTTAATGATGTTTTCTCTCCGCCGTTCTGCAGACAAGAGACAATCCACAACTGATTAAGACTTGAAGATGTTACCAATGCCGGAAATTCTAAAATCATGTTTGTAAGATTATAGTTGAGTGGTTGACTGCTACGGTGACATGGCTTCTTCATTTTTTAAATGTTTTTAATTTCAAATAGTTTATTTCTCATGTTCATGAAGATGTGACACATAGTTACTAATGAATAATTGCATGTTGTTTAACATTTGTATCTTGTAAGGTGTTCCTTTGTGATTATATCAAGTCGATGGCACTTAATGCTAAATTATTTGTTAAGAAAATGAGTTTTAAGCTAATACTAGAGATAACAAATAATTGAAAGTAAACGCTCTCTTCCGCTTTATGTTAGTTGATTTAGTTATCATAGACTTCATGGTTTTCAGTAAATGAAACATAACTTGTTATATTTTTCAGGCAGCAATATCACCCCACACAAAAGGAAGCCATCCTGGTGTTTTACCACCTTTGATCAAATATCAGTTTGTGAAGTCGGATTTTACTGCATCTAAGAATAAACCTGAATTGAAAGCTGCTGAAGGGCATTTTCCAGAAAACGGTATTTTTTCTAGTATTCTAGTTTTACGATGGTATAAGCACTTGTTTATTTATCATTTCAGACGCAATTAAAGAACAGAAATGTTTAGAGTGTGCGGTAGAATTATGATTTGTTAAGGACAATATTAAGTAGCGCAATGTTTCACTAACCACTGATACACTCAAAGATTTTTAGATTTCAAATTTTATCTCATAGTCAGGTGTAAATTATTTCAATATAAATGGTCAAATTAGGTAAGGTATGTACGGCAAGCTGTTTCTCTTGATTTGATTACTACATTACCACATTTCTTGATGTAATATTCAGTGGGTCTAGGAGAAATGGAAATTTCTGACCTATCGCGAATGCGCCCAATTGGTGATGGGAAAGAATCTTCGTCGCTCGATGGAAATATTGAAGTTGGAAAAGAAGAGAATGCTAATAATGCAGAGGAATTTAAAAGGCTAAAAAGAGATCTTGAGGTTATTCTGCTTTAAATTAGGATTTAGCAGATTTTGAGGGGGGAGAGAGAGGGAGCGAGAAAGAGGGATTTAAATTAGGAGATTTTGTAAATGAGGAAAAACTTTTTTCTTTTGAATAATATTGCGATAATTCTCAATAAGTGTATGAGAAGGAAAGCTTGTAGATGATAGTTATATTTTTTATAACGCATTCGAAAGAGTGTCTTTCGTGCAAATTTTTGAGTTTTTTAATACTTTTTTAGTTAGAAAGGCAGTTGACAGATGAACTAAAACGTATACTTGTTGCTACAATGGGTGATGATTTGACATGTCATGTGAAGTCGCTTAGCGAAGATAAAGTTCGCCTTGCTCATATGATGATGAAATTTGAAGCCCAGGTTGGATTTATTCAGATTCATTTGTAGAAATTTTTTAAATTTTTTTTTTTGCTGAACTTTTAATGTTATTTAGTTTTTATGTTTTTCATCATGAATTACTAGTTTTTAGACAGATTTTGATTTTACGAATTCTACAAACTTCGTTACTTCCTTAACTTGCTTAAGTTTCTAAGTTAGTCAAATTTCAAGGGCATTATTGAGAAGTTCCTGTTAGCCTGCAGAGTGCAGTTTACAGTATGATATCAGTGTGTGTTATCTTCTTAAACGATTTTTTTTTTCTTTTTCAGATCTCGCATGACAACGATAGGGCTGAAAATTTGGCAATATTAGCTGATATGTGGCGTTGTAAATTCTTGGCAATGAGTATTCGAGCGGATGAAATGCTTATTCAGCGATACAATCTACTTTCTTATTGCAGGCAGCTCCAAATATTGCTAAACAGATTCCTTGATACAAATCAGGATCAGATCCGCAGAAAGTCCATATCTCCAGTTTTGGAAACATTGATAAACGAAGCTCGTGCAATGCTAAAAACTGATTTGTCGACATTTTTTGAACGTTCACCATGTGATGAGAAAATTTATAAACCGGTTCCACATACGTCGAATATTACAATTACTTGTTGCAAATACTGTATAGGTAAGGAAATTAAGTTAATTTAAGTTTAAGTGTAACTATAGTTTTTATTAACGATTATTACTGAGCATTTTATTGAAATAAAGTTATTGAGAAGATAGTTCTGATGTAATAGTACTAACCTTATGTTCTTTATTTTTAAATATAGAGCACTTTAATGATTACTTTAGAGGCAGTGCTGATTATTTTTATGTTGATTATTAATGAGAGAGTGTATTGATAATGTTTTTTTTATCATGCATTTTTGGAGGATTGGCAAAGTTACAAAGATCTTTTTGAGTATCATTCTTCATGCTATAAATAAGAGAAAATTAAATCAGTTAATAAATTAATGCACAATATTTACAAATCTTGTTAAATTAATTTGAGCAAAAAATTACGTAAGAAGCCTAACATAACCCAACGTAGGTTGAGTTGTTAGTAACTTTGAACTGTGGTGTGAAAATTGGTATTGTGTATAGTATATTTTGTGGGCTAGTTTCTGCAGACTTGTGTTACGATTGTCAGTTGGTGTATTTTTTCACTGTGCTTTCGTTGCAGTAGATTTAATTCAGGTACATTGAGAGTGGTTTCTAACTGAAAAGTAAACCTCCTTCGATGTTATGTTTTTTTTTTTTTTTTTTTTGCAAATGATAAATACAGTTTTTATTGATTTTACTTTTATTTTAAATTTATTAACTTTAGAAACTGATTTTATTTTCCTCTTGTATACTAAGAATTTTTACTTGTCTACAGTTTGTCATTATTGTGGCATCAATGATCGGTAAATATTCCGTGATAAAAAATTTTTTCGATTTAAAATTTTCAAGTGACTCGTTAAGTTCATTAAGTTTATGCTTAAGATACTGGTAAATTGCTGTCTTCTTAAATAGGAAGAAGTTAATTAGGATGGATAACAATTTCATATTTATCTTTGAAGATGATTTTCTTTGTTTTATGTTAATATATGAGTGAATACGTTCCTTAATTTTTGTTTTATGATTAGTCCCATGAAAATTTGAGAACGGTCTAAGGCGAATGTTTCTGCTTAATGAAATGCAGGAGGAGGGGAAGATGAATATCGGTGCACTACATTCATCTATTTCAAAAAGTACGCTACAAGCTGAAGGATGTTCATTTTTGAGTTTCTAAATATGATTTTATACTAATTTTCTCAGATTTCTTTTTTACTTGGCATCATCAATGGCAGCACCAACAGAACGATTTCATGTGTTATCACA